AACCAGTAGAAAAGAACTCTCTAAACTTCTCCCCTATCTTTGGCAAAGATAGGTATGGGAGGGAATATGGAGAGACGCGGAGTCAAAGGCCCATTGAGAAGAGGCTCAAAGCAGGGTCTGGGAGAGGATCCAGACAAGCCACTGCAAAACAAAGTGGGAAGATTTGGTTTGGGTTGTTGGGGTACCAGCTGAAAGAAGGTCAAGAAAAAACAATAAGCCAGAGCCTACCTTGCTGAAACTGCCCAGAGGAATGTTTCACAATGGAGAAGTGTAATGGTCAATTTAAAGTTGTTTTTAGCACCCTCTCACCCCCAAATTGGCCAAGACCTCAGCAAAGTCGACTACACTCACATCACTATGTGTGAGCAGTTTTATGTGGATAGTACGAAAAAAGGGCTGCATCGTGAGCCATGGGGTAGAGTGGGAGCCCCACAAAAGCAAAATCTCAGAGGCATAGTGCTACAAGGATGAAATCCCCAGGAATAGGCAGCAGCCTTGCAGAAGATGTGGGATGGGGCTGAAGGTGACATCAGCTACTCAGATTTTAAGGAGCAATATCATTTGTCCTGTTATAACTGACCGTGAAGCACATTTGGGTTGAAGATATTTGAAATATAACTATTTCTTCTACTTGAAATAAGTGCTTGGATAATTTTAGAATCCCCTGAGGAAATACGTGTATCTACAATTAGAACGGTCAAATATTTTATGCCAATTTATTCATCTAGTCTTACCTTAAACTTTATTTCAATTAACAAATGTATTTTGAATATCAATATAATAATTTGTATTTTATACAATATTTCATGTAATTTTTAAAAATCTTTTGTCTTATTGGATATAAAAATAAACTTTTCACACTTCTAATTATAGCTATGAGAAACTAGCATGATCTCTTTTCTCATAACTAATTTTTCTGTTAGAAGTATTTGATAATGAAGTGCTTTGGGGCAGCTGTTTTGGCCTTCTTAATTTTAAAAAAGATTTCTCATTTATTATTTTGAAAACTAAAATATACTTAAGGAAGTGTGAATTATGCTTTAGCATTAATATGCTTTTCAGAATGCACAATAATATAGGACACCTAGAATAGTGAATATATGAAAATACTGAGTATTGATTTGTACCTTAAACAAAAGACCACTAAGGATCTCTCCTAGTTTTAATTTAAGAATTTATATTTTTCTCAGAATTGTAGAAACACTTAATTCCACTGATCCACTTTTCAAGTGTTAAAAGTTACCAAATACAGCAGTTATTTGAAAATTAATTTATTTTAATGAATATAATCCCAGAACTCACGCATGATACATGCAACAAGTATTTGATATATAATTGCTCAAATTCAGGGTTGGCCAAACTCAAATTGTACTGAGTTTAATGAATGGTCACAGTATAGCTAATGAGAGACTGAAAAAGAATTGAACTGGCACCTGGCTACTATGCACAAGGCAAGCATTCAGTAAATATTGCTGACTTGGCAAGAGCTTTAGTTCATGAAGTTCATGTCTTACTACTACTGCCCTAATCAGTTGAGACAGAATTAGCACTAGCTAAGTCGCCTGTGTGCTGCCTGAAGGGGTTTGTTGAGGGTAAGAGTCTGAAGACAGAGATTAAGGAGTCCTCATCCTCCTAAAGTGCTGGGCATCCAGGATTAGAGCCCTGGGTCAGAGAAATCCAGCCCGAATGCAAACCTAAGCATCAGTGCACTCCCGCATTGGGGATTACCAGACACGCTCCACGTTTAAAACAGATATCCCAGTCTACGCTTTGACTCAAGAGCATTTCATCTGCCATACCAAAGTGACCTTGGCTCACAATTTGTCTGAATGTTTTTTAAATAGAAGAAGATACCCAGAAAATCTGGAAGTTAGTATTTAAAGACTCATGGGTTTATCCTATGACTCAATATTCCCAAAATGGTGTGTTTGTAGAAACACAGATTTGGAGCTTCAATTATCTACCTGGCTGATGAAGGGAAAGGTCTAGTCAACCCCAGAATATTTCCTTGAAAGTGTCCAAATGGTATTTGCTTTAAAATATAATTTGGTTTAGGGCGGTGAAACTGTTCTGCATGATATTATAATGATGCATACGTGTCATTACACATTTGTCAAAACCCATAGAATGTACAACACTAAGTGTGAACCCTAAGGTAAAATGGACTTTGGGTGATAACAACATGTCAATGTAGGTTCATTGATTGTAACAAATGTACCACTTTGATGAAGGATGTTGATAGTGGAGAAGGCTATACATTTGTAGGGGAGAAGTATATGGCAACTCTTCGTACTGTCTATGCAGTTTTGCTGTGAACCTGAAAGTACTCCGAAAAATAAAGTCTATAAAAATATAAAGCTATACATATAATTTGGGACAAACAAAAGATAACAGGCATAACATGAAAAAAAAAAGGCATCTTGATCAGTTCAGGCTGCTGTTACAGAAGACAATAGTCTGAGTAGCTCATAAACACAGAAATTTCTCACAATTCTGGAGGCAGAGAAGTCCAAGATGAAGCCACCAGAAGATTCAGTGTCTGGTGACGACCTTCTTCCTGGTTCATAGATGGCTATTTTCTCTCTTTGCCTTCGTGTGGTAGAAGGGTCAAGGAGATCTCTGGTGCCTCATTTCTTCATCTCCATGGACCTGATGGCTTTGAGTTCCGCACTTATTTCACTGAACACATGATTAACAGTGAAAAAAATCTTGCTGTGTTGTTGCAGACAATGGACCCTACAGAGTCTCATAGAAATATGCCTCTGCCTGGTGAACCTGGCAATCCAGAAGACAGGCATCTGTGCCGATTACCTAGTGGAATGACACTGGAAGGTAACCACATTGCCTCAACAGCACTAGACACTGTTACTGTCCCACCCCACATCCCTTTGACCCACTTCTGAGTTCACCTGCAACTGTGGAGGTCATTTCCCTTCTTAAGCACCTGCATCTCTTAGCTTCTCAATTTGAAGGCTTTCTCCCACTCCACAGGAGTTTGTTGGGTCTAGCTCAGGCATAACCCTGTTGCAAGAGAGATTTGTGCCCTGCACCAACGGCTGACAGAAATTGATGGGTAAATAGGTAATCTTTGTCTTCTATTGAGACAATTCTGACTAGTGTACCGCAAGGTTTCTTAGAGGTTCCCCAGCAGGGTTGAATTCTAGTTGCCCACCAAGGTAACTCACATATTAACTCATCCTTGTTGGCTTTTCCTTTCCTGATTTCATTTCCCCATTCCCTCGTGTGGGCTTCTTGGGATCACCTCCCAAATAAACTACCTGCACTCAAGCCCTGTCGCAAGGCCTGCTTAAGGGGATCCCAAAATAAGACAGTCTCATCCACTTTCGGTGACGAGTCTCCATGGCCTTTCCCTGAGCTGGCATGTGTGAGGAAGGAGGCGTTCAACATCTAGGCGATCCTCGCTCTGGAGGGATTCTGCACCTCTCCCTTTCTTCCTTGTCCCCTTTTCTTCTTCTTCCTCCTGATTCTCCTCAGCTGTCACATAAAATGCAAGACAAATGCTGTATTATCATTTTAAAGATTTTAACTCATTCACAGGTAAGGTCAAACTTCTTCCACTGACCATCAATTTGTGGCAGAAATCACAGTTTGGTAATGTTTCAAAATGAAATACCAAGTTGTATCCCACAGTGTTCTGTTGTGTAATGGCCTAGGGGGAAGAAAGTGGCTGTGCATCAAGTTTCATGCGAGGGACCTGAGATTTCAAGCCAAAGGGCAATGTTTTTGCCAGAACTGCAAGCCCATGTCTGATCTATACCCAGCCCGTGTTCTTTGTTGGCGTTCTCACCATGGCTGGAAGGCATCGAGCAGATATTTTTATTCTAATCTTGATGGGTTACTAGACTCTCTGAGACCTCTGATAGAGAGGAAATTAACTAACCTCACAGAAATACGGTGAAAATAAATCAATGTAAAGAACTTTAAACATATATATATATGAATGGCAAAAACAAATATTAGGTGACTCATGGACTTGAATTTCCAATTTAATCAGTAAGTTTAGGTCTGAAAAAGAAGCTAAAGAAATGACTGCTTATTTAAATGCCATTGTAGTTTTAGTTTTTGAATTATGTAAATGTATTAACTATTTAAAAATTAAATCAAATATACACATAAGAAAGGAAGAAAGAAAGAATGAAAGGAAGATCACCACTTTGAAAAGCAGAACATTTTCTTCCTAATTTTCTTTTTTTTCAAACATAGTTGTAGGTATCTTGGTTTGTTTGTTTTTTAAGTGACAAAGATGAAGCTAAAATGACCTACTTAACTAGTATTTGTATGTTACTTAAATTATTCAAAGGACATTAATGATTACCAAAAAAAAGTAAGGGGAAATATTATCCCTTTCACAATGGCCTCTTTTTTTGCTAAGTTCTGAAGATAAAGTTGTGAGTCCTTGTGTTTCTGTGTTTGAATATAACTCAGTTACTTGATCTAATTAAATACAGTCTCATGCTTTCGGCCTGTATCCTTTCTAATTAGATAATTTTCAGTCATTAAGAAGATTTCCCCCTTCTTTGTTGTTTTAATCTAATCAACTAAGGAATATTTTTCCAATGATTAAAAATATATGGGAGAATATCTGCATTTGTACTTCTGGAAACATACAAATCAAAATAAGTTGTAAGAAAGGAAGTTGGTATTTCTGGAATCTTGCAGGGCTGGTTTAATTTTATTATTGCTTGTAGTGTGGTATGGTATTACCTGTGGACTCTGCAACAAATTACAGGAGCACATGGATAAAACTGAGTTCTATAGTTGTATCTGGGTGCTTACAATGGAGGTTTTTTTGTTGTTGTTTTGCGATTGAAAGCTTGGTATAGCTAGTCTTCCCAAGTTTTGGGAAAATATCATAGGTGTTCATTGTGTTTAAAAATAATTCAAATAGTTCTCACAAAGTAGTTATTTGTTAACATAGCTCTAACTGGTTCTTTTCAGAACTCCATCAGTGGCGAGAGGTATTAATGATAAACCCAACGATGGCCATGAACCCTTTACTGACAGCATCAGGGCAGCGAAGGATCCCACTGGTTCCCTCACCATTTGAACCTCCGACTGTGGATAGGTATTTCCTCCAATGTAATATTCTGGTGAAAGGAGAACGTGGATAATCATTAGGTTTTCAAATCATGTTAACTTGAGTGTTATTTTATTGTCTACTGTTATTTCAATGAACCGTGGTGCAGTCATGCAAGTCAAAATACTCCACTGGCTATACTTTCAATATACTTCCCATTACTTCTCTTTTGAGTTCTGCTTGACATACTCAGCAAATAGCGAACGAACACTTACTATGTGACAGGCATTGTGCAGGTGCAAACATTAGTACAGTCTGGGAGGGCTGCCATGACAAAATACCACAGACTGGGTGGCTTAAACAACAGAAATTTATTTCTCACAGTTCTGGAGGCTGAAAGTCCTAGATCAAGGTGTGAGCAGGGTTGGTTTGTAGTGAGACCTCTCTACTTGGCTTACAGACAGCTGCCTTCATGCTATGTCCTCACACAGCCTTTTTCTCTGTGCATGTGCACTCCTGGTATCTCTTCCTCTTCTTATAAGGACATCAATCTTGTTGGATTGGGGGTCCGCCCTTATGATCTCATTTAACCTTAATTACCCTTAAAGGCCTTATCTCTAAATCCAGTCACATTGTGGGTTAGGACTTCAACATGTGGATTTGGGGGACACAATTCAGTTCATGACAATTGGGCACCCTGGATTTTCTTGTGATAGAACAATTCTTTCTTTTCAATAAAAGTGATATTATCAGTATGTAGGATGCACACTATGGCAATTTCCAATCTTACCCTCTTTAGAGTATTTTGACATTCTGAGGAAAAAGTAAAATCCATTATTTATTCTTGTTCATGGAGAGTAAACAATAAACTTGGACTTCTAGAGATCACTGAAGTTTGGCAAAATAAATCAATTACCCATCAGGTAGTCAAATGTTGATCCCAGATGGCAAAACCCAAGCCAAATATCTCTATTAAATGAGAAAATAATGTTGCGGTCAGAACAGTATGTTGGTCATGGAAAATGAGAAAGCTGCAATGGACTTGATTAGATCTTTTTTCCCAGACGTCGCCAAAACTTTCCTGCTTTCTCTGTTGTGTTGTCAGCTGAGTCAATTCTTCCTTAGTAGAGTCCTTCCTCCTAATCTTTCTTAGCATATTTCTACTTAAACCAATATATATTGCAAGACTTCTATACTTCATTTTGGGAAGAGATAATAGAATCCCATATGGCAATAAAACAAACTCACTGCTTTGCAGTGGAAATTTTGTACAATTCCAGCCTCATTTTATCTGTTATATCTTTTTCCTTTAGAGATTTATTGCCTTCCACTGTAGTTCCAAATGACCCAAGACAGTTTTGTGTTCCTTCTCAATTTGGATCCTCTGTTCTACCAAACGCAAATATGCCGAACATGTTGTCAAATCACGTCTACTCAGGTACGAGCAGTAGATAGCTCTCGTGTGTGGAGCTGCTGTGAAGTAGACAGCTGCAAAAAGCTTGCCATCAAATTTATTGCTGAATTTTGGAGGTAGAACTGTGTAGTGTTAATACTTATAATTTCTGCAGTTGCTATATAGATTTAAATCATGGTTCCACCACTGTGACCAAGTGTAAATTAACTTTTCCAACCACCAATTTACTGACGAATAACATGAAAATCTGTCTTATCTTATGTATAAGGAACTGATGAGGTCATGAGGAGATGAAATCTGAGTGTTAGAGGGGCTCGGGGAAGTTTATATGTGACTTGATATGTCATAATGAGGACTCGCCTTTTTTTTCTGAGTAAGAGGGGTAAGCTTTTGAGGAGTTTGAACAGAGAAGTGACATGGTCTGACTTACATTTTACCAAGATCACTCTGGTTGCCGTGTTGGGAACTGACTTGATAGGACCAAAGTTCTGGGGATAAACTGATGGGAGTTAATGGACAATTAGAATAGTTAAACGATTATGATGGTGGTGACAGTAGAAATAATAAGAAGTGGTTGGATTTTGTAATTATTTTGAAGGTAGAAACAACAGGATTTCCTCACAGTTTAGATCTAAGATGTGAGGAAAGGAGAGTGTTAAAGCTGACAACAAAAATTTTAGTCCGAACAATCAGAAAGGTGGAGTTGCTATTTATTGAGTTGAGGAATATTGAGAGCAACACAGTTCTTGGGGCAAGAGAGATATCATAGGCTCAGTTTTGCTCCTATTACAATTGAGATACCTAACAATCAACGAGAGATGTCAGGAAGGCAGCTAAAGTCCAGAGAGGACTTCCAGAGACAGCCTGGAGACATAATTTTGGAAGTTATCAACATATATGAGACTTATGAGATTATCTATAGAGTGAGTGTGGATAGAAGTTAAAAGAACGATTCCTGGGACATATCAACAGGGTCAAGAAGATGAGGAGGAACAAGCAAGGGAGAAATAAAAGGAGCAACTAATGAGGTAGGAAGAAACCCAGGGGAGTATGGAAGCCTAGAAAGCTAGAGAAGAAAGTGTTTTAAGGAGAGACTGAGCAACTGCGTCAAGCATGCCACTCATAGATCAAGTAGGTGAAGACTGAGAATACATTATTAGATTTAGCTGTGTGGAGATCATTGGCGATCTTGGTAAGAGCCATTTCAGTAGAGCGGTAACAGTGAAAACATGACTGGTTGGGGATCCAGAGAGACTAGCAGGTGAGAATTTCCTCACAATACTGAAGATCGAACTGATGCATCTGATCTCCCAAAACTATATTTATGAGTTTCTGTTTGTTTCTGCTTCCCAATTCCAACAACTCTCAATAGATAGGAACAATGTGAGTGAAAAGCCTGACCCGAAAAGAAATAGGATTGATCCCAGGGCCAGTGAAGATACAAGCCTGCCTGGATTTGAGCTACCACAGTGTATGGACCCACTGCAATGAAATTAGGCATCCGAGCAAGGGCCAGATATGAAATTAGACACTCCCACTGGAGTGGCCTAGGGATCAAATAAGACAGGTGCCACAGCTGATCCTGGATGGAAGCCCCATCTGGCAGCAAGATCGCAATAAATCTATATGTGGTGACAGATAAAAACATGAGAGACTCAGAGTGTCCTTCTTAGTGATGAAGAACCCAGAAGCTGCCAATATTTGGATACAAACAGGCAGATTGATCACCTGTCTTGGGGACATAGATCAGTCTCCCTCCTCAAGGCCGAGGTGTAGGAGAGTAAGCAAGGGCAAGGTAAGGACTCATTCCTATAGAAACTGAGCTTCTAAATAAGTTAGTACAATAGAAACTAAGACAAGAGTGTATTTCACAAATTGAGATGTTAAGTAAGGAGTGACTTATTACAGCTGGACTAACGCTAAGTTTGAGGTCACCTATTTCAGAAAGAGAGAAACTTGAAATAGTTTTGATGAGTCCAGATTTCAGAGGGTCCTAAAATCCAGATGGTTAGAACTGTGCTGTGTACACTGGACTACTCACATGGACTTTCTCTTCATCTTTGGGCAGTGCGCCATGAGTTGGCAATTTCATTCATGGCGGCTATCTAAGGAGAATATCTTGAAGCCACTGAACTGTAAAAATATAGAGCTTTGGAGTAAGAGAATTTTTAGACGTCATCTCATCTAACCTCTGAATTTTATAAATGACAAAGAATCTCATAAAAAAAAAAGATACCTTATGGTTTATGTCAAGATAGGTTGCTTTTAATAGTTTAATGAGGTCTACTAGCTTAGTACAGAGTAAGTATAAGAAACAGTTCTAGACTTCATAATACTTACCCTCTTGTTGGGGAACAGATTTAAACTTGGAAAATTATCATTGAACAAAACTACATATAATAAGTACAATTTGTGCGTCTCTTATGGTTAGAGTGTGCTCTGCGGACCTGTGCTGGTCTGGGAAGTATTTGCACAAATGAATGCATAAATAGAGAGTCAGGGCTTAGAAAAATTTATGGTAATTTGACAAGGTTATTTTATGTCCATCAATCTAATATCTTAAAACTATGCTTGTATATGTCATTGTTTTCATTTCAATTTTCTAAAAAATAATTTATTATTTTTTAAAAGTATTGGTTCATGATGAGTTGGAAATTTTAAAAGAAAAAAATGCTCCTTCACCATAGATGGTTTGAGAAGCACCACTATAGACTCTAAGTGAGTTCGGAGTATAGAGAAATAAAAAATCAATATAGTATGAAGTTACCAAGGCAAGAATAGAGACTTGAATTCTGGCGATGCTGCCATTATTTCAAAATGTTTTAAAAGGTTGACATGAACAAAGAATATAATTGCTGCACATTCCATTGGAAATGTTTTAGGAGAAGCATTTACCTCAGACACAACAAAATGTCCCCATAGAGAACTTTATATTTTATCCGCTTAAATCAAGCATTTATTTCCAGGGATTTTAGTGCATCAGGAAGCGGCACTTAGTTACATTTTTTTCTTGAAAGTCAACAAATTCTTTGTAACAATAATAACAAAAGCTACCAACTTTTACTTCAAAAGAAAGAGATCAAGAGATCCACAGTTCACTCCATTTTTTTTCCTTTTGAAATATGACAGGAAATCTCACCAATCATGAGACCTAAACTTAAAGAAAAAAATTATTCAGAGTTATCATGCCATCACCAAAATGACTCGAGTTGCTAAACAGCAAGGATATGATGTTGTTTCCAATGTTATGCTCAAACGGTGGTTTTTAAAAGATATTCTTTTAAATCATTATATTTTATTTTATTATTTTCAAGTAGATGTTGTTAATTTGTTTGTGGATGGAATGGCGGTTTTCTTTTTTAAGGTTGGGGCATTTTACCACCTGAATCGGTAAAGGCAATGGCCAGAAGGAATGAAATGATTCAAAGGCAGCATACTGCCAGGTAACACAACAGTATTTTTAAAATTTATTTCTTATTCATTCATTTGTTTATTTATTCATTTGTTTTAGAAAGATAGGTAAATAGATATAAATATATATATACTTTTATATATACATTTATTCATTTATTATATTTGCGTATGTTGTTATATTCGTGTGTATGTGTGTATATATATATATATATATACTCTGAATATATATATACATATATATATGTATATACACGTACTCTGATTACTTACAAAAGTATTTCAGGGATATTACAAAAGAAACATATACAAACATGTATACAGGTTGATTAAGGATAAAAGCAAGATTAGAAATTACATAGCTAAGCTAAGTTTATAGACCATAATAGTTTGTCAATGCCTGGCAACTAAATGCCTCGCTGTGATTCCTCCGAAATTCATATTGGCATTTCTGTCTTCAATGACTTCAGTTTTGACCAAAATAGGAGCCAAGCTTGCCAACCCCACTTCAGACAATGCCATCAGAGTCCAGACAGCCCCATGTCAATGCAACAGTATCCTTCAGCTGTAGCAACCAGGAGAAAGGAAAGCCAGCATTAATGGTAGGGTGGGGAGAGAGAAGGAATCAGAGTCAATTCTCTTATTACTGAACCCTAAAGGGTCCAGGTGATGACCAATAAGCAAAGTAAAGTAAAGTAAGCAAAAACGAGCCCTCCCTCTCCTTCTTCCCCTACTCCTGCCACTTAAATTAATTTGTAACAGTCGAGATTTGCATTGACTTATTGTGGCTCTGGAGTCCCACTAAAATTGTACTGCAGGGTTTAAAAACCTCTTCCTAGAATTTTAATCTCTTTGAAGATTAATCTCTGGCAAGAAACTACCCTGTGCTGCATTATTAATTTATAATAAAAACATATAGAAACTTAACAGGCAAACTTGTTAAATTTGCCAGAGGTAAGGCTCTAAAGACTGGCCTCAGACTTCCACTGGGAGAGTCAGCCATGCCCTTCACCCTCAGATCTTACTCCAAACTCTCCTTCCCGGTGGCTTTGTTGGCGATTTGTGTTTCCCCCCAAAATACTTCAGGTAAGTAGTGTGAAGACTCACAGGAAAAACAGGTGCTATCTTAGGGAAGGCAGAGGGCCATTAAAATTATACTTCTAAGGTTTTCTTGGATTGTATAAAATGTATTGTTTTGTTTTTAGGATGGAAATGGAAATGCATGCCATTTATCAGCAAAGGAGAATAGAAAAAATGAATCCCAAGGGGCTAGCAGGCTTTGGGTTACCATTCCTTTACAGCCCTTGCGTCCCTGCTGGTCCAGCCACCTGCCACAGCAGGAGCATGCTCCCTGCCAGTGACATGCATTTGCACAGACGCTCCCTGAGAAACATTCAGGGAAACCCCATGCTAACGGCAACTAGTCCACGCTTTCTAGAGAGTTGGGGGCAGAAATGTCGTCGTCTCAGGAGAGGTGCAGGGAATCAGAAAGTTCTAGACAATGATACTGAGCGTTCCAAAAGTCAAGCGGAAGAACAAACCCTCGGTCAGACTCATGCGATCCCCTACGAAGAGGATGAGTATGCAAAAGACGCTGAAACCGAAGCTCTCAGCAACCAGCCGTCAAGCGAAACCAATGAAAAGCCAACTACAGCTCTTGCCAACACCTGTGGAGAGCTGGAGCTCACCCATAGAAAGCCCTGGGCAGCACATGGTTCTTCTCTGGAAGCAAAGGCCTGGGACAGTGGGAAAGAGAAGGCTTCAGAGCAGGTTTTTGCAGCTTGTGGTGAAAAGAATGGGCTTTACCCTCCAGTTCCTCAACCATCTCTGTCGGGTAGGTATGCAGGAGCCTATGGCCAGTGGCAGATTCTTGGGAACCACAGGTCACAAAGTCCTTCAGTAGTTACATAGTGAGCTATAACCATCATGCTTCTTTTTATCCTTCCTTTTTTTAATCCTATTTAGAATGACCTCTTCTCGAAGTTATTTTACTAGTTAGTTCCAAGAAGCCATATCAGTGAAACTCATTTCTATTTGTATATTGTCATATAGAAAATTTTCAGCAAAGGCTAGGAAGGCAAGTATGAGGAAGGCTGGGGAAACCTACCAGAATTTTTCATTAAAATTTTAATTTAGTTTGCTGTTAATTTCTTCAACACTTTAAAATAAAGGAGCTTCTTGCTTTAAAATATGAATTCTATCTACTCCTATTTAAGTATAGAAAAAAAAAACCAGACTTTTAAACAGAAGCATTAACTCTTAGTGCCCACTACTGTTAATATAATCTAACCTAAACATATTGAGGCACATCTCCAAAAAAAAAAGCAAAACAACAACAAAAAATACTGAATAGTTTTCTAGAAGTTCTTTAGATAAATATATTTTAAAACAGAAATTCAGTCTGGGGGTGTGGTGTAATCTAGCCACCAGACCAACTACTTCTGTTATAAAGTGTTAATTTGCCATTTTCATGAAAATGCGGCGAAATTTTTGCATTGCCCAGGGAGCATGATAAATCACATAACATGTGTTATGATAAACCCCATGACATCATAGTGATGTTAAGCTGGAGAGTGAAATCTACAGGGCATTTCCCTTGGAATCTAGAGAAGTTGGAGCAGTCAGGAACTTCTTTGTTTAGTTAAAATAATGCTGTCATTAAAGATCCTTTAGAGGAAGAAAAGAAAGGAGGCAGCTAAGTTTCTTAGAAAACATCTTTCAATAATTCTTGATATCCTTTAGGGAATTTATGTATAGATCTATATAAAGGGATCACTCTGTGGTAATAGAATATGAGGAAATTAATGTAATTATACTTTAAACTGTACTCTTAGTGTCCCTCTTTTTTTTTTGGAAATTTTATGTCACAAAATAATTTTTTTTTCCATTTTAAAGGAACACACACACTGGTTACAACTGGGGAGAATCTGTCCTTGGATGAAGATATTCAGAAATGGACAGTGAGTGATGTGCACAATTTCATCAGTGGCCTTCCGGGTTGTTCAGACTATGCTCAGGTGACCTAATATTTAAGTATTTTCATAAAAGTAAGACACTTTGAAATATATATATTTTTTCCATAATGAGTTCTGTCAAACTTGCACTTCGCCCCAGAGAGTATTCCTAGTAATCTCCCCTTTTTATGCCCGTGGCTACCCTGGGAAAGGAGCCTCTATGTGATGGAACTTGGGTCATGTGCCCACACCCCAGTTGGGAAAGCCAGTGTCTGGCTTTAGTTTATGTTTCAACAAGACTCTAGAGAGGTGGGACGTCTCCCCAGGTTGAGAGATTCAGAAGCCACAGATGCAAAAATAATGGGAAATGTTTACTACATTCTCTACTCATCCATGTAACAAACATTTTAGGGGCATATACTTGGATACAAGTAGTTTTGGCTACTCAACAGGTAATGGAAATATATACTTTGTTCTAAAAAGGACAAGAAGGCAATAGATCTGAAAAGCTGGAAATTATATATTTTTAATTCTAAATTTATGCTGAAGCAATATACAAAAATGCATACACACATATAATTCAATCTGATAGGTAAACACTACTTTTAAAAAAATTACAGTGATGTTAAGACAGTTGGAATGAAGGCTAGTTTCATTTATATAGGAAAATTGGTGACAAAAATCATGGGTTGGCAAGTTTTCGAAGTTTATGTCACTGCTTCATTTTCATGCATATAGTTTACTTTTTCAAGTGATTTAATAATACAGTTCCAAGCAACGATGTGCCTACTAAGTCTGGTATTATTGTCTTTGATTTATATATTAAAGAAAAAGAAAGCAAGAAAAAGACATTCTGATTTAACAACATCATAATTAACTGACATTCTGATTTAACAACATCATAATTAACTGATCTTAGTTTTGCGATAATATTTTCCTTTATGTAATGCTGTTAATTCCTTTTTTTTGTTGTTCTGTTAGTGAGACTTATGGAAAGATTATGTAGAGTAGTAATTAAGAATATGGCTTATGAAACCAGAAAATACAGATTGAGATTCAGACTTTTTCATTTTCTGGACATGTGACCTAAGACAAATTGCCTCTTTTCTCTGTGCCTCAGTTTTTTCACCTGTAAAATGGGGATAATATAATACATTCTCAAAAGGTTGTTGCAAGCAATAAAGAGTGCCTGGCACTTTGTAAGTACTCAATAAATTAATTTCATCACTATATCAGACTCTTAGAACAGAACCTCAAGTTACTTTTGAGACAAGTTGTATTCTTCATCACCTACTTTATCTTTTTGCATATCTGATAAAATTTTTTGTTCTATTGTCTACTATTTAATGAGTATAACCTTATTATTTTATTTTTTGTCATGAACCACCTTTTAAATTTATCTATGTCACTTATCAAGTGCTATATAAACCACCGTACAATGAAGTTACCCAATTCTGATAAGAGCTGGAAAGAAGCAACCAACCTCGTGTATAACGGACATGTGATTGCTGACTTCTGGTGGATTGAATCTGTTTGAACTTTCATTATTCTTAATCAGTTAGCGATGCAGTCATAAAAGTGCAGTTTATAACAACCACTCTTGTAATAAATAATGTTATATGCATTTCATACTTTATCATCTCAAATGTCCTCTTGCGGGTGCGTAAAAAACACAAAAACACGAATACCCAAACTCTGCTGACTCATTATCTCTCACCAATAGGAGGTCAGTATTCCCTTCCCCACCCCAAGAAGCAGAAATAATTATTTCTAGGTGTTTTGCAGATGTGTTTAGGATCAAGTCCTTCTCTCGTTTCCTTGTTAAAGTGTACTTTAAACTGTACTGATGAGATCGACTACAAGAACGCCGCTGCTCTGCTGGGCACCATGCTGCCATGCTCAGTGACTGCGTTCTGTACAGAAACAGGAGAATCTCCTGGCTCCCGCTGGGTGCACAACCCTCACAAGAACCATTGTCTTAAATGTCCCTTTGGGTTTTACTCACAGACTCTGGACTAGTCAGGTTACACCCACTGTACCCCACCCTCTTCTTCCTCACGTCTGCCTTAGGTGCCTCGTCAGCAACCTCCCACCACCTGCCTCCTGTAGGTAGACAGAGAAATTCAGAAAAAAAATAACTACAACTAAAACCCAAAATCCCTCTACGAATGAATTCTTTTAAATAGATATAGAGAGAGGGCTGGTGGCTCAACTGCTTAGGGACATCCAGGAGACCTTGTAACACATTTTGTTTTTTTCTAAGTAAATGCCTAGTTCAAAGAACCGAGCAGATAAAACATTCTCTCTAAAAATAACCGAAGTTACTAAAAATATATGCACATATATATGATGCTCTTGGCCTAAACTGTTCTCATGAGAACGAGGGGGTGGAACATCTTCTGAGAGACGGTGGCATGTGCTGTGTCCTTGCCCCAGGCCCAGGGTTCATCTATCATGGCTCAGGGTTCAGCTCTCGCATTTCAGATCCTGGCTGACCACCAACCTCTGTCTGAAAATTTATCTCTGTGGTTTCTCTTTCTTTGGTGCTCACTCATAGTTCCTTCACTGCTCACTGGAATCCCTACTAAGGAAAGAGAAATAAAGCAAAATGTCCACCATTAATATACTTAAATATTTTCATCAGCAGCCCTTTTCTGAATGGCAGTGTAATTAAGCAGGGAAAATTATGAATCGGAATCATAAACTGGGGGTTATTTTATAATTTCTCTAAATGGCAAGCTGTGCTTCTTGGGAAACTCACTTAGCCTTTTCTATGCTGTTCTCTCATTTACAAAAAATCATAATAATGATACAGAGTCTTTGGTAGGCATGGACTATGTGTGAGGCACTGTACTGGACACATCATTTATAGATTATCTTTTAAATTTAGTCTATACCATAATTCTGCAAGGAAGATATTAACCCTATTTTACAGCTGAATTAAACTGAGGTGGCTAAAAGGGTAAGTACTTGAAAAATGTGTATATAACTACAAATCTAGCTCTTTCCATTATAACTACTGTACATTGAGGATATTGGGCCATATGGTTTCTAGTCAAGGGTACCTGGGCCCCTAGGAGTTCTTAAAAGTGGTTAAAGAGATCTGTAAGTTATTCTATTTCAAAAAACCTAAAAGAGATCATACAATTCCACAAGAGAAGGCTATAAGACTAATCCAAGCTGTCACCTTTTTTGCTTTGGCTCAAATTAATTTGCATTAGCCATTCTACGATTTGCTTAATTAAAATAGGAAAGGAAATAATTACTTAATAAATATATTTTGTAAACAAGTAAAATATATTAGAACACAAAGTTCCTGGTACAGAAGCTTCCCAAGAAGATTCTAGATTTCAGTGCGTCTTGAGGCACGCCTGCAAGGAACACCTTGTGGAAATGAGACACACATGGTTCTGCTCAGGAAGCTTACAGTCCAGAAGAGGGATGCTAGTAAGGGATTCTACGTCAGTGAGAATGTGCTATGAGAAAGCAGGTACGAGGCCTGGTGGGAACATACAGGAAGGCCTCATGGCTTCCCAAAGGAAGAGGCAAGGAAAGTGAGACCTGATGGTGAGTTTACCAGCTGAGGGAGGAAGTGAGGCGGGAGAGAGGCAAAGGAAGAATTTCCAGGCAGAGATTAGGAGCCAGAGAGAATTTAGTGTAGTTGGGATTTTGAGAGTAGCTCCTAGTGGCACAGAGAGGGCCAGGGGCAAGGTGGGAGAGGTGAGAATGGCAAGACAGGAGACTAGAGTGGGAGTAGGAGCTAGGTCACAAAGAACCGCGAAGACCCAGTGAAGGATTATAATTTTATCCTGGAGGCAGTTGAGGTTTTAAGCAGGAGCGATATGATTAGCTTTATATTTCAAAAAGGTCACTAGGTTGCTTTTATGAAAACAGGTCGAAGGCGGCAAGACTAGTGGGAAAGCCTCCTCAGATGAGCAATAATCATGTTTGATCCAGGGCAGGAATACTGCAGGTGACAGATGAGAACACTTTCTAAGAGGCAGGATTGGCATGATCCAACTTCTAAGTTAAAGATATCCATTCATTAGGGAGCCTGCAGCATAGAGAGACACTCATTGAAGCCAAGAGAGACTGAGACAAAGAAGAAAGAAAAAAGAAGACCTGAGACAGAAACCTAAGGGACTCTAACACAGAAGGATGGACAAAGAAACAGTAGCCACAAAGGTGACTGCAAAGGAGAGGGCATGAGCCTAAAAAATATGAGAATTGAAAAATATTCATGGGTTTGGTAATAACAGAGTCACCAGAGACCCAGAGGAGAGCAGATTGATGAAGACTCCTTGAGACTGAGGAATGACTAGGAAGTAAGATCATGGAAACAGGGAGCATCACAAATCTTCTGAGAGACTGGGCTGTAAAGGGGATGAAAGGCATGGGGCAGTATCTAGAGGCAGAGTGAGGTTTGTATATTTTCATTTTTATTATTGCTTGTTGTATAATGGTGGAAACTTGCTTAAGTGCTAATGGGAGAGAGCCTGCCAAGGAGGAGAGATGGAAGGCAACAGAGGGGATTATTTACTCATTGGGGCCCCAAGGTGAGAGGGGTAAGGACCCAGAATATGTGGAGAGATTGTCTTTCAACAGTGAGGGACCCCACTTTCACATATGAGGACAGAGGAAGAAAATATGTTTTTAGGTTTTTTAGGCATAATTAGAGGAAGTTCTTATCTACTGGTTTCTTTTTTTTAATTAGGAAGTTATATGATCTGTTGAAAATAAGAGAGGATTCTGTAGTGTCTAAAGTTTGAAGATATCACTTATATGTGGAATATAAACCTAAAAGCAACAAACAAACAGGACAAACAGAGACTCATGAACATGGACAACAGACTAATGGTTACAAGAGAGTAGTGGGGTGGGGGAAGGTAGATGGTGACAGAAAGAAATGTTAACTATGGGAGGTGAACACACAATGTAAATATATATATATGCCTTACTGTTAAAATGTTCAGCTGAAACTTACCAGATTTTGTTAACCAATGTCATCATAAAAATTTAATTAATTAAAAAAAAAGACTTAAGGTATTATAAGCTTAATATTACATATGGTAATATTAACATTTACAAAAAGAGAAAAATAAAATAAAATTTGAGGAGTGTGAAGAAAGCTTGAAATAGAAAGAAGAGATTAATTTAAAAAAAAAGACTTAAGGTATTATAAGCTTAGTATTACATATGGTTAAAAGTCAAAGAAAAACATTTACAAAAAGAGAAAAATAAAATAAAATTCGAGGAGTGTGAAGAAAGCTTGAAATAGAAAGAAGAGAAAGCTGGTCGGCAAACACAGGATTGCCAGGCAGGTTGAAGTTGGAGATCATGAAATGATGGTGCTACCAATCCGCTCAGTTTTTTCCTGTCCATCTCTGCATCTGCCTGGAATCCTTGTCCACCAGCAGCCTCCCCCATTTCAGGAAGAAAGGAAGGAAAGGTCACATCCCTAAACAGTCAGACAGGCCCTGCTGGAAAGGGCCTGCATGACAGCCCCATCTGCGTTTTCCTCTCCTCCCTCTGCCATTAGGCTAAGGCAGTGGACAGGAGGCAGTGCACCTGTAAATGTGAGAGATGACATTTGTCTGTGACAGTTCTTACCCAGATCCCTTTACTGAGACTTTGTTCATTCACTGAGTTGTCCAGCAACGTTTATTGCACATCTACTATGTGCCAGCCACCGCATTACAGGTACGTTGATAAATGAGACCTAGGTGCGCACTCAAATATTAGCTATTCCAGGCTGGAACTGAGTTCTTTAAACAGAGGACTACAACGTACTCCAAGGGTTATTAAAGAGCATGAACAATGTGCTACTGGAGCGCAGAAGAGAGTAACTGAAAATGTGAAATTTTATAAAATTTGTGTCATCCTCAAGCAGTCTTAATGTTTCCTCCAAAACTAACTTACTTGTATGGAAAACAAGAATTAAAAAAAAAAATTAGGCAAAGTTAACACCGTTTGTGTTTAATAAGGTGTTTAAAGATCATGCAATCGATGGAGAAACTCTGCCATTACTCACAGAGGAGCATCTTCGAAGCACTATGGGATTAAAGCTAGGGCCGGCGCTAAAGATCCAGTCGCAGGTATGATGATTTTTCGTAACAGTATGTAGTGATGGTATAAAACTCAAGGGAGTGTGTTATTTTTATCCTGTTGTAATAGTCATAATACCTAGTTATCCTCTATATTAAGCTTTCCGCTCTGTGGCTAGGAAAGTGATAAAAGTGAGGGAACCTGAAACATTAGATGGATTAGTAGCACATATCCCTAGGTATAATTGGAAAGGCACAAAGCAGTGGTGTGCTGGTAAATGTTTCTCTTTAAGAACAAAATGAACCCAGATTTGTAGCACTTGCCAATTTCTGTAGTGTCAATACTTCCACCATGGCTGACAAACTCTTGATGTAATGTCACTAGATACAGAAATGGGAAGAGATGCACAGCAGCACCCCACTTTACAGTATTTTCACCATATGGATAGAATAGACACAAATAGCAGAGATAATAATAAATGCTAATAGCAAAGTAATTAAGTAAAGACAATTAAGAAGTGATGAGTTTTGAGAATTTATTACTATAGTTTTCAATATAATGTATTTAATTGTAAGTTTATATAATTTAATTTTTAATAATGGCATGTTTAACAACTGGCTTGTAAACTCCCTAAAAAAATCAACAAATGGCTTTCAAGACTGAAACAAGCCAGCTCTAGCATACCATTTCTCACCACCTTCACTGCTTCATTCTGGTCTAAGGCACCATCATCTCATTGGATTCCTGCATTGGCCTTCTAACTGTTTTCCCTACTCTGCCTTTGCCCACCCAGAACCTATTCACAAAACGGTAAAGAATGATCCTGTCCCATGCAGTGTAGTGATGGGGATACTGTTGAGAAATGCGTCATCAGGCAATTTGGTCGTTGTGCAAACATCACAGAGTACACGTACACAGAGATGGAATAGCCTACTCCATGCCTAGGCTAAATGGCATAGCTTATTCCTCCTAGGCTACAAGCCTGTAAAGCAGTTATTGTTCAAAACAACATGAGATTAAATCAAGAACCTTGGGGACATTCCCTCTGCTTGAGATGCTCTTCACTCCCACCCCACCCCCGATATCCTCATGTTTTGCTCCCTCATCTCCCTCCTCTTTGCTCCTCTCATCTTTCTCAATGAGGCTTGCTCTGATCGGCCTATCTAAAATTGTGCATGGCCTAGCCCTCATGCATACTACTACAATCCCTTTTTTCTGCTCTTCTTTTTTTTTTTTCCCCTCATGGCACCTATCACCTTCAGTCATACAACATAATTTATTTATTTGTTATATTCATGTTTATTATTGATTTCCCTCTGCCTCCAATAGAATGTAAGTTCCATGAGAGCAGAGAGTTTATCTATTTTGTTGCAGGAGTTCACCAGATAAGAAAAGATATCTTTGTGGATGTATCCTTAGAACACGCAAGGCCCATAATAGGTCAAAATTTATTGAAAGAATGAGTTTCCTGAAGCAAAACCAAGAAGCATCAACTAATTCTTCCCAGAATTTACACAAGGCTGCACCTTTTTATTATATATATTTATTCCAGAAGCTGAGATTTTAAAATGTCCTTCAAAAACCATTTTCGTCTGCCTAAAAGTTTTAGGGTAAAGAAGTTGTTTGTGTCTAATGCAAATATTTAATGTTTCTATTGGTATTCTTTTTTTCAATGTAATTTTTTGAAAAAATTTTAGATACAGAAAAGTCGCAAAGATAGTACAGAGAATTCACCTAGCTTTTCTTAATGTTAATATCTTACATAATGTGGCACGCTTGTCAAAACTAAGAAATTAACATTGGTATAATGGTACAATATGGCATTCATTTTTAAATGACATTTTTCTTTAGTGAGAATACTATATCTCTTGGCATAATTACGGTGACACTGTACAATTTTTTCTTTGGCTCTGATTTATTCCTCG